TTTTTTGACACCCCTAATTGTTATATGGCACCATTTTAAGCTAGCCTCAACAGTAGATAGCTCATAGGTTTGAACTAGATGAAATTATTTATATTCTATTTGCTTGGAAAATGAATTCATCATTTATGCCATATTATGCATAGGTCATGGTATTTGATCATGTTGTAAGCATGTCATAAGATACTAATTGAATACATGGTTAAGTCACTAGATAACTAAAAGATCATTCTAAGAGTACTTTAGAAGAACTAAGAGAATGTATATGAGAAAATCAATTTAGAAAGTATCTTTATGGAAAGAGCTACATAACATGTTAAGTTCTAAACAGATATAAATAATTATGAATTATAATTGGATTTTAACTTCATTATGGAATGAAGAGTAAGTCTTGTTGGAATGAGTTCCAAGAAAAACATAATGACACAATCAACTACAAAATAAGAATACACTTCTTTAGAAGTTGAATTCCAATATGATTAGATGAATGAGATCATTGAAAAACTATGTTGATTTCTGCCATTCGAGGATCACATAGAAATCTTTGTGACTTTGAGAGTATATTTAATCGAGCTAAGAGACTCTATGTCATAAACGAACACCAATCATATTATCCAAGATATTTAACTATACTTAGAGTAAAGTTAAGTATAGAGATAATAGTATTCACAGAATTCACACAAATTAAATTTTGACCGATCCATTGATAAAGTCATTCTTTTAAGCTAAGTATGATTGGTCACACTTTAGCTATAACACTTTATTATTCTAGAAATGGGTTTTTGATTTGAATTTAATATTTGGATATTGGAACATTATAACAACAACTATTCGAAAATGTTATGATATATTAGGATATAGGCATGACATTAATACTTGTTGTGTTCTATATTAACATATTTAATCCATGGATAATTTTATTATTCTAAAGGTTCATAGTCAGTTATAATTGTGGGAGAAATTATGAAGTAAGACTAATATGAATTGGATTGGTTGTCTCTCACTAGATGAAAGTAGGCAAGTGGTTGTAACCAAGTTTCATAGGTACTTGTCAAAGGACTAGTATTGAATTGACCTGCGTCAAGATCATCTCATGGATCGCTATCGTGAATGATACTTGATTAAAAGGTACTATCTTTGAATCCTTAACACCTGAGATACATAGTGGGACTTAAGTGTAGGGAGTATTGTGCTTTGTAATGGTCAAATGTTGTTCCTTAACCGGGTAGTTATAAAAGCCATTTTCAGGTATGGTGTGAACTATGCAAGAGGCTTATGTAGTCAAGATGGGATTTGTGCCTCTTATGTGTTGAGAGTTAGACATCTAGGGCACCTTACCAAAAGTTGAAAAACTAATAAGATTGATCACGATCCGAATCTCATGTTCAATATGATGTCTATAGCAAAGGGATAACTGATAAACTTACCTTATACACCAATTGTAGCTTTGAGCTTTTTGGGAATTAGGTGTTGATAGAATGGCACAAACAGTCGTACGATATTAGGGGCAGTGAAATGTTGCTAGACGTTCACCATTGTCTATATCAGTCTAATATGAGTCTTGCGCGAATGGGAGATTGAAAGGCCTAGTATGCTCAAGTGTCATATTAAAGTGATATTACTAAATACATATGATACTAATGGTCACACAAACTGATACAATTAATTATTTATTAGAAATTGATTTTAATAAATATTCAATAAAACTCTTATAATTAAATTGGAAATTATTTATTTCATGGAAATAATAAATTCCATTAGCATGTAACTAAATATACATTATATGGTATGATTTATAAGTCATGTACAAACTTTTGGACTAGTTGAATCCTTTTGTCTTTTTCCCAAAAGACAAGGTTTATATTTTATAAAAGAGTTTATAAAAGCTTGACTTTCTTTCTTCTTCTTTATGCAATTTTTTGAGATATGCATTAAAGGAAGAAGTGTATGAATTGTATAATCATGCTTTAAAGGCATGGGAGACATACTTATGACATGGAGACAAGTTTGTCTAAAGTTGAAGGAACCAATCGTTAATAACTTCACTTTTAGGCACTATAAATATGAGGCTTCCATTCTTGAAGTTCTTCTCCCATTCTCTCTTGCTATGACCGAGAGTTTCTCCCTCCCTCTCCATATCTTCTCTAGTCTTGCACTTTGAAGATTTGATGCTTGCATTTTGCTCTCTTTGAACCATACTTTGGTTTGGTTCAAAGCTTAAGAGTTTTATACATCGAACTAGCATTCCACATCAAATTGAGTCATTGTTGGAGTCTCAAAGGTTCCACATTCTTCATCAACTTCCAAGCCTCCCAAGAGGACCCAACAAACTACAAAGGTTGTTATTTCTTCACATATTCTTTTTTTGGTGTTTTAATCTTTCTAAAACTTGCAAGAAGATCCTTAGTGGGTATAAAATGTTTATGTTATTTCAAAAATCAAAGTCTTCCGTTGCCATATTTTTCTTGTTTATGAAACAATTTTTGAACTAAAACCCAACAGAAACGTGATATGAATCTGACTAAGCTCGGTTGGAGGATCTAGACGATATGAACTTGGCCCACCCGAGACAAAAACCCTAAAGGGACCAATATACTTGGGGCCCAACTTGCCCCGCTTCTTGAATCAGATGACACCATTCGAAGGTGACACCTTCAACAGAACCATATCTCCCACCTAAAATTCCAATTATGATACGCGTCTGTCAGCATAACTCTTCTTTCGACTCTGAGTTGTCTGGAGCCTGCTCTGAACCTGCTGAATCAACTTAATGGTATTAAGTACCACCTGGGTACTCCTTATGACTCGCTGACGGAACTCACCCCAACAAACTGGGGTCCTGCATTTCCTCTTATAGAGCATCTCAAAAGGAGGTCGATTAATGCTAGCGTGAAAACTGTTGTTATACGAAAATTCCGCTAACGGAAGATACGTATCCCAACTCCCACTAAAATCCAACACGCACACACGCAACATATCCTCAAGAGTCTGAATAGTCTACTCACTCTAACCTTCGGTCTGCGGATGAAATGCTGTACTGAAATGGAGACTAGTGCCCAACTCATCATGAAACCGCTTCCAAAATCTGGAAGTAAAATGAACATCCATGTTAGAAACCACAGATACCGGCACCCCATGACGTGCCACAATCTCCCGAATATAAATCTCAACCAACTTCTCTGCAGAAATACTCTCCTGAATCGGAATAAAATGTGTGTTCTTGGTCAATTGATCTACGTTGACCCAAATCGAATCCACTCTGCACGCAATTCTGAGAAGCTTTGTGATGAAATCCATAGTGATGTCATCCTATTTCCATATAGGAATCCTCCAACGGTTGCATCTTGCTGTGCGGTCGCTGATGCTTGCCCTTGACTTTCCTACAAGTCAAGAACCGTTCTAGGTACCATGCCACATCCCGCTTCATGCGTAAGTCTTTGTTGCTTTTGTACACATCCAGTACTCATGAGCGGTTTCTATAGGTATCTCCTATGACATCATACATGAGACAATCACTAATAAGGTGTTCGGGGCTGTCGGTGCTTATGCTCACCGCAACGTCGACTACTTGGTTGGTTAGGTATTGTTTCTGAACGTCGTAACTTCTTCATATGATCTTGGATTTTAACGATCTTTATATCCACGCGTTCATATTTGAGTCTAATACAATTTTCGATTAGATTAATCCTTTTAAAAAGTAATATATTTTTACTTACGATTTTATAAAAAAAAAAACATTTATACATAGATTCATAAAGAACGCGTGGATATAATGATTGTAAGTAAAAATATATTACTTTTTAACAGGGGTAATATAAACGAAGGGTTTAGTTGACTTAATTACGAACGTGAAAATATAAAGATCGTTAAAATCTGAGATCATATGAAGGAGTTACGATGCTCAGAACACAAGACCTAAGCAACCAAGTAGTCGAGGCTGTAATGGCCATAAGCATCAACAACCCCGAACACCTTATTAATCATTATATCACATAGGATGCCGTGAGAATAACCTAAAGAAACTGATTATAAGTACTGAATGTGTAGAAAAACAATAAAGACTTATTTTGCAATAAAATAATATTAATGACTAGATATGTAAAAAAAAAATTTAATGACTAAATACGTACAAAGTAAGAAATATAACACTCTGTTAAGTCATTTTTTTTCCGACTTATTTAGAGTAGCCGGTTATAATAATTGAATGTGTACATTTTAACAAGTTGAAATGTAAATATAGATGCAAAAAATCTTAGTGACCAAATATGTATAAATCAAAAAATATAATACCCTTTTAAGTCATTATACATTAAAATTTTCGAAGTTCTCTGCAGAATTCATGCTACATTTACATTTTTTTTTGCCAAATCCTAAACCCATCGTCCCTTTACGCCTAGTTTCCTAGTTGTAGTAGAGAAAAATAAAAGAAGATAAAAAAAAGTAAGGAGAGAAAAGAAGAGAAATAAATGAAAAAGAAATTTATCTTTTGTGTTTCCAAATGTGAGAGAAGTAAAAGAAAAATTAAACATTTTGTTCTTTCTCTTCGAATCCTTCCAAATTTTAAAAAAAATATATATAAGGAAAAGTAATCCTAACATTTTGTTCCACTTAGCTTGTTTAATAAAAGAATGACAAATTTCTTTTATTTTCTTTGTACTTCTAAGGGTAAATTACAAGGATGGTCCCTGTGGTTTAGGGTAATCTGCATGTTTGATCCATAACAACTTTTTTTTAACTCGGACCATCCTTATTTATAATTTTGATGCACGTTGGGTCCCTATCCATTCTAAAAAGACTAATTTACCCTCATCCATTTCTTTTTTAATTAAATTTTTAATAAATCATAAAAACCCAAGGGACTATTTATGTAATTACAAGGAAAAAGGCCCTAAAACCAGCCACATTCAATCATAGATTAGTTCCTCTTATTATCTCCGCCGGCGCATCAAACCTCTCACCGTCGGCAGCTTCCTCCACCTAAAACTTGCATCGTTGCCCTGTCAATGCTCGCCGGAGACCAGAGTATAACTAGAGATCTCTCTTTATCCCGAACCGATTTCAAACCTTTCTTCATCTCCTCCAGATTTCAAGCTGGAAAGCATTCTCTTCATCTCCACCAGACCACCTCGCAGAAACCCCATGAAACCTGCGACTCATTTCTTATGGTGTGCATAATAATTCCGAGAAGTAGATTGCAGGTGGTGATTTGGTTAAGCCCTATCAGACGGTAATATGATCCACCCCCCCCCCCCCCATTTTCATCTATGCCCCATTAGTAAAAGGGATGGTCGGATTCGCCATTAACTTCTTTCCCTTCCACCACGGATACCCTCCCTCTTTCCTCCGATATAGATGTACGATATCGATTCGTACCCAACACCTACTAATTTTGAAGGTGAGAAATTGATTTTAAACGTGAGGAATCGATTTTGACGTAAAAGATCAATTTATATACAACACTGATTGGGTTTGATTTCAGGTTTAATTTTCAGTTTGAGGTTTAATTGAGTTCCAGGAATTAAGTTTCATATTCAATTTTCAGTTTGATTTCATGCTTGATTTTACCCTTATGACCAGCTGTTACCGGTCATAAGGGTAAAATGTGAACAATTTCAATAGTTCAATGGCAAATAGATAACGAAAAAAAATTTAGTGATTAAATATGACAAAAGTCGAAAGTTCGTTACCCTCTAAAAAGTTCAATGATTAAATGTGAACAAACTTCCTATTGTATTATGTTTTAGCAAAATTATTTATTTTTGTTTAATTGTATTATGTATCAACAAATGTTGCTACAATTTAATAAAAATAAATAATTTGCTAAAACATAATACAAGAGGAGGTTTGTTTACAGTTAGTCACTGAACTTTTTAGAGGAAAACGAACTTTCGATTTTGTTCATATTTAGTCACTAAACTTTTTTTCGTTATCTGTTTGTCATTGAACTATTGAAACTGTTCACATTTTACCCTTATGACCGTCAACATAAGGGTAAAATATGAACAGATTCAATAGTTGAATTACAAATAAATAACGAAAAAAAATTTAGTAACTAAACGTGATAAAAATCGAAAGTTTATTATTCTTTCATGTCATTATCCCAAAAAGTTGTTACGGAAAGCACGCACATTACCCTAATAAACCACAGAGACCATCGGTGTAAAGTTGAACTCGGGTTACTGTACTCAAACAAAGCTTCATCTTTCTCTGCCTAATCTTATCTTTCTCTAAAATTCTGTTAGAAAATCGAATATGGCAGACTACCTCCCATCTGAACTCATCGTCAAAATCCTGTCAAGGTTACCCTCAAAATCGCTTCTCCGTTGCCGATCAGTATGCAAATCATGGAAATCTCTCATCTCTTCCCCCGAATTCATCCAGACTCATCTTCACAACTTCAACCAACTAAACTCTCGCAATATTGTCCGTTGCTGTTTGCAGCCAGAGAACAGGGAAGCATACACTGTCCATCTCGATGATCAACATCTTACTCTCGATACTCCCATTGATTTCCCCTTCTCTCTTACGCCTGATGATTATAATTACGGAAACCCCTTTTTCACCAGGATCGGGTGTTGCAACGGCGTTATCTGCCTTTACAATGCGGCATCCACAAGAAATGAAATCCTTCTATGGAATCCTTCAATTAGAAGGAAAGTAACCATAACTCCTCCCGTTCAACCTTATCGCAACTACAACCGAGATCATATTTTCGTTTTCGGGTTTGGATACTGTAACATATCTGATGATTATAAGGTTGTTAGACTCGTTTGTGATGGTATTACCTTCTCAGATAGACCCGAGGTAAGTTCTGATTCAATATATTTACTAATCAATAGTTATATCTTCAACCCATGATTACTACTTCTTATATTTCGCCATTTCAGGTTGAGATTTACACTGTGAAAACTGCAACTTGGAAGACAATCATGTTTCCTCAAGATTCACGTTTCTGCCGTATCCTCGGTGATCGTTCACATGTGTTTTTGAATGGATGTGTTCATTGGTTAGCAGGTGATCGGGACATTTCACAATCCTCAATCCTTACACTTGACATAAGTACAGAGCTTTTTGGGGAGATTCAGTTGCCTGATTTTCATGTGAAATGTCCTTCAATGCCTGTGACGATAAGTGTTGTTGGAGATTCTTTGGGTTTGATTTATTCATTCCGACCTCTCTTTGTGTGTTCAAGCGATTACAAGGTATTGGTTATGAAGGAGTACAAGATACCCACGTCATGGACATTGATATATGAAGTGCACTTTCCAGATATAGATTTGGGGAGACCTTTGAAATTGAGAAATAATGGGGATTTGATAACCAGATCGAGTTCGTGCAATCTAATGATTTATAACAAGGAGGCAGGGTGCTATATAGTGGATGGTTGTTGCAGAAAAGGTGATGAATTATACTCAATTTCTATTGATGGATATCAAGAAAGCCTAGCATTGTTGGATGTCGGGAGTGACTCATAACCATGAGTAATTTCATTGATTTCTTTGTTATAGAGTTATAGTATCCTAGTTGTATTTCTTAGGATCTATCATAATATCATACTTTGAAAAACTAATGAATATACAATGTCATCTAAATACAAATCTAAATACGAAGCAGCTTTTACGGCTATAATTCAAGGTAATTTATTCATAGTATAATCATGTTGCCATAGTTGGGTTTTTTTTTTTTTCAAAATACAATGCCTTGATAAGAATCAAATTGAAAGTATACTATTCTAATAGAAATAAATGGATGTAGGATGATACAATAAACAAACAAAATAATAATATGATTGAAATGTTTCCTTGCATTTTTAATTATACATCGAAGTGGAAGGAAAACTTTCAACAAGTGCCACTAATCTTTTTGGATGACAGAGTAATTCTTTTAGTAACTATATCTATAGATATGGGGGTTATAATATTACTATCCATGATTCGTTGGACTTTATTAAGGAGCTCCACAACATCTTACACAAGGATACAAAAAGTATCAAACACAAATGATATAACCAAGTGTTGATTTTTGATCAACGGTTTCTTATGCTGTCACTTTGCATGATGTAGATTTTAAAGTAGCATGTCGTGATGTGAAATGCCCACCCCTTAAGCCCACAAGATGTTAAAACCATGTTAAATCCACATATGCATGTTTCCCTTAAACAAAACTTCATATATGTATTATTATGTAGAATCATTTAATACTTGATTATTTCTCCATACTGAAGTGATCTTAAATAGTTGATTATGGGAAATTTAGTAATCCAACCATTATAAACAGAGTATTTAAAAGCAATACCACATTCGGAGTTGTTGGTGATTAGCATAGTCTTATACAGAAACTAACACTCTTACATTTCAGACTCGAAAAATGCATTTAGGGACATTCAAGATATATATTACAGACTGTCAATATAAGGGTATTTGTATTGCAATTTTTTCTGCATAAACCAATAAACCTTTCGGATACTAAAATAAGAGATTAAGATTTTTAGAGTACAAGAATGAATTAAGGGATCTGTGTTGTATATTGCTCTAGAATACACATGCTTTGGCGTAGATATAAGTAATGATATAAACTTTTGTGTATTAATTATGTTGGTTGCTTTGAAATACATGTTAAACATTAATCAAATACATATATCTTTTAAATGTCGTGGTTCAAACATAGTTATGTCGATTCTAGATATTAATAATGTCAAATATTTTCTTAGTTATGTTAGTAATATGCCTCCTAACATAGTACAACTATTTGTTATTAATCATGTTATGGAAAGTTGTATAAATCGATTTCTAGGGGAAAATCGCTCTAGTGGAAATGGTTCTTCCATTGTTAAAGTAATCAAATTTGTAATTTATTACATATGATATTGAATCATGTTTCATCTGACAATAAGCCTATGCAAGGGTGTGATTTTAGGTTCAAATGTAAGGTGGCTGCTGATGTTGGTCCAACAGTTGATGTTGATGAATTTGCAAATGATTAGACAAACCTAGTATTATTGGTTGATGATGGTAATATAATTCCACATGGAGACCTATGGAAAATTGCAGAGTTTCATTGAATTTATTGGGGATGAAACCAAACTTGAAAATGAGGAAACGGAGCCTAGAAAGCCTGAAAAGCTCGATAGGGAAAGTTCCCTTATTATTTTTCAAATTCTAAAGAAAAAAAAACTGCTTATTGGGATGCATGAAACTTTACGATTTCTTGAATTATCATATAAAAAATGTAAAGATGTTATAGTCAACAATAATTCTTCGTATGTGAAGTTGTCTTAATTGTTCAAAAGAAAAGAAGATGTTAAGCTTAAATTAGGATTCAAATGTGTTACTGAGGGCTTTCAAATAAGAATGAGTAAATATACAAAAGACGGGTTTAAAGGTGTTCGTTATGCGGAAAATTATAGATGGTAGTTAAGGGCTACAAATGATAAAGACGCTAATTCATTTCAAGTCACTAAACTATCAGAAAACCACACTTGCTCAAACACATAACTTCGTCCCCATCATCACCAATCCGACTAGAAGTGTTGGGTCACTTCTTGAAAGGCATATTAGCTGATATTACATCATCACCAACTTCTTTAACTGCCACCACCATTGTTGCCTTGCCGATCCAATGAAACATTGATAACCCGCCACCATCTCTTTCTCTCTGATCTGCGATGAAACATCACTAGATCTACATCAGGTATGTCAATTTTTTTATTCTTTTTTCTCTTGTTAGACCGTGAATTAATTGTTTTAATCTCTCTTTTCTTTTTTTTACTAATGTTAATATTAGTTTTAATTTATATTAAGTTGTGAATCCATTGGTATTAAGTTGTGAGTCCACTGCTAGTAAGTTTGTGCATCCAAGTTAGTTTTCTTATTTGTTAAAATAGTTGCACAAAATATTAAGTTGTTAATCCATTGTTGTAAAGTTGTGAATCCATGTTTGTTTTCTTATTTGTTATAATATTTGCACAAAATTGTTATTCATATATTATGCTTTATGGTTTTTATGTTGTGAATTGAGTTTTGAATTTAGAATATGCGTTATTATATTAGTGTTTTCTCAAATAAAGTGTGAATTTATGTTTTTGTAAGTTTTGAATTGTGATGTTTTAATATTTCCATCATTGTTTAATTATGTTAATGCCCGTTTTGACTGTTATTCATAAAAAGAATATAAGTTTTAAGTTGTGAATGCATGAATTTTTATAAGTTTTAAGCTCTAAAAACATGATTTTTAAAGAGATCTTACTATTATTTTGTAGCACATAATATGTTTGATGATTAATTATCCTCTTTTATGATCCATGTATATATTTTTCTTTTCATGTTTACTTTTGAAGTATGATATGCAGGAAGCATTGTACTTGCACATATATGATTTTCTATAATTTTGAATAAAGTATGTAAAATTTAAATAGTGAATATTACGTAAATTAAACTTTTAATGAAGGACTAGCCTCGAGATTTGAGCATACTGATTATGTGTAAAGGGTTTAGTAAAATTCATGATCAATAACCATTTTTATAATGCACACACGGTGTTCCATGATTTGCTTGAATGAAAATTTTCAACTGTAAATAGTGTTTTTTACATTGAACTGTGAATAAATCTATAAATTTGTGTATTAAGTTGTAAATAGCTAAATTGAGAATAAATTATTTTTGTATATTAAAATATGAATTTATTATATTAACGTATGAATTTTATGAATTAAGTTGTGATATGATTATATTAAGTTGTAAATTGATTGCATTAAGCTACGATTTTCGATGAATTTTGTGCTAAACTATGAATGATTTATTTACAAATGTTTGTGTTAATTTTCTTGTGAATATATTTATTTTTTGTGTTGTGTAAATATATAAGAATGTATTAGTTTTTATAATTGTTTTGCATTAAACTCTGATTTAGTGAATTAATCAGTTTATTGAACAGTGAATATAATATTTAAGTTGTGAATCCATAATTTTATACACGAATATGATTTGAAAGGAAAGATGGTTGCAACTGTGACATGGGTGGGTGGTGGCTGCATATAGTAGTTGTTACAGGTGGGTTTGACTTCTCTAAATATGTGAATTATTATATAATGGATTATATTAAATTGTGAATTTTATATATTAAACGAAGAATGGACTATATTAAGTTTTGTATTTTATATAAATTTTATGTTAAAACATGAATGAATGTATGCATGAAATTAATGGATTGTGAATTTGTTAATTAATATGTTTATTAAAGTGAGAATATGGTATTTTGAACTATGAATATGTCTAATAAAAGATGCACTTTTTAAAGAAATCTACAATTTATAAAAGAGAAAAATGAATTTATAAAAACATAATTCGATTTTTTAATTAAATTATGTATAAGTAGATCCAAAAATAAAAAAAAAGTATGTGTTCAAAAGTGTTACTAGAGAAACATGAGCTATAATATTTGTTACATTAAGTTGTGAGTATGACCATAAAAATGCAATCAGTACAGTGCTCTGGTGGCGATCTAGCAGTAGTCCGGAGGCGGTACGAGAAGTGGCAACTAGTTGTAATTAGAGAATAGGAGAGTTCCTTCATTAATGTTTGATTTGTCAAAAACCCTCTTAATTAAAAAAAAAATAAAAAAAAAATGGTTCTTAGAGTTCCTAACATTTTTTGGTTGTCCTTTGAACTATATTGTTGTTATAACTTAAATAAAAGTTTAAATTAGGGTATAAATAATAGGATCAATGTAAAACTAGACATTAAACTTGATTCTATAAAAGATTGTGATTGTTCTTCTAAATTACAAATGCATAACTAAATGTCTCAGTTATGAAATGGGCAACACGACTAATAGTTCATTTAGTAATTCCCAATGAGGTTGAGGCGTTAGAGGATTGACCATCTCAGTTCGGTATGCAGCTCGATACATTGTAGAAGTTCAATTAAAATTAACCATTTAGTGATTCTCTTACATATTAAACAATAAGCATTATCGTTTATTATGTTCCCACAATTATTACCATTTTTTCCCATTTCCTACATGTACAAGCCCTACGATCATGATTTACAAATATGGTCTGCAAAAAATACATTACTTCAAAGCTAAATCTAGAGGCATGTTTTGTGTAATGAACCAAAAACAAAATCTTCAATGATGCTAGCTTACGTTATAAGAATATTAATTGTTTTAAAATAATTTCAATTTTAAGGGTTTAGGATAAAATAAAATAAATTAAAAGGATGTTAAGTTATACCTAAAAGAATTAATCGATATATTTAAAAGGTATATAATTTAACTAAATTGATTTGTAGAATTATAAGATAAATATAATTCATTAAAAGGGTGTGAATGCAATTGAGGAGGCTGAAATGTCATTAACTAAACTTAAAATGTTAAGGTATCTAGGGTTAGTGTATAGGTTGTCCAAGGCTAAACGTTGAGGGACTTAATAGGAAAATGGGTGAAATAGGCCAAATGTTATGTCTGATGGGTTATGAGGCTTAATGAGGTTTGTATGCTTTGCTTTTCCCTTGGCATGTTACATGCACACCAAATCATCTGTAACTCCTTAATAGATTGTTAAAGGAATGACACTAGAAGAAAAATCAAGCGATGGGTGTGCATGAGGAAGGTAAGTACCAAATGAGAGAATTAGGA